TCATTTAGTGTGATCGTTTAAACCCATAGTCATTCAAAATAATCATTTACGTGGAATCATTTTTGTATGAAATTTTGCAAAGGAACAGCGGAGGACTTATAAATGGAAACCAACCATAGCCCTGCAGATATTCATGTAATGAACTTTTAAAAATAAGGCGTTATACGGGGAGTATTCGAAAAAGTTGTTCGATCTCAACAGTTTTGAAAAGCATTCATAGTTAGGCCAAAAATTTCAAGGTCTCCGGTTTCCAAAAATTGCGAACTATAGGTTGAACAAAAGAAAGAACGAGAAGGACAAACGGACAGAGACGCTTAAAACAAAATCAGGAAGTGATTCTGAACAAAAGGTGGGCCTATCTTTAACTTAATCTCACTCTTGTGCCACAAATGTCGCAAAGTATCAAAAATTATTATTAAGAAAAAGTAATCGCGATGTCTACCGCAATCTATTTTAGAATTAACCCACTTCTAGACAGATAATATATCTTCATTCGAGTTATGTACAAAATAGTTTTAAACATTCTGTCTTCTTTGCCGTATGATAAATAAGCACAAAACCTCGCAAAGGTGAAAAGAAGAGAATTCTCCAGTCTTTTAAGTTTTATAATTTCCGAGCAACGAGCAAAAAGTCACAAATTTTTGTGAGAAAAAACGAAGTTGCGTTCAACTTATACGTCACTGCGGGCTTCTACTCCGACTAATTTGGCCCAATTTTAATATCATTCTGCGTGCACAAACTTCCAATGTTTCCACCAAATTTGTAGTCGATAAGTTCATTTTTGCAACCGGGAGAGTGCCAACAATACACACCATACGGGCGGACACACATGGCTTAATCAATTCAAAATTTCACACTGATCAGGAATATATATACTATTCAGGATCTGTGAAGACTCCTTCTGGTTGTGACATACATTGTACAGTTGTGGGTATAGAAAACAAAAAGATATAAGTTTTCGCACACTACAATATTGAATGGGCCGAGTTTTCCCATTTTCAGAATAAAAGTAGAAATCTACATATGGTGTACGTATTGTAACTTATAAGTAACAGGCAAAAAAACAAGGAAAGCAAAAATTTTCACGGTGCTTGAACATTGTAAGGCAGGTCGTAGGATCAGTCCGGGTAATTTCCAAATTTTTGCGAAAGGGGGAATGCTTGCCACAGATACCACACAGTTGGACAGGTGAAAATGCTTAGGTGCATTCCAAGTTTGAAACTGGATTTCCAAGCTTGCTTTTGCGCGTTATAAAGGCACTGAAAGAAAAGCTAATATATTGATGAACTATGATGTTAGGTAGGCGTGGGCAAATCTGAACATTTTTGGACAACTGCTACAGTATCACTCATAGAATATATATTGAAATTGTTGTACATTTATCTGCTGTACTACATTTTTAAGGTTATGTTAGGAAATTAAATTTATGCAATACTTACTATGTAAATTATTTTCGCGTTGAAGCACCAATGTAAAGAATTTCATTGATTTTGACCACGTTGCAATCAATCGGTTGGGAAATTTTATTTCCGCCTTTGCGATCTTCCAACAAAATATCATTCTTATATTGGGAATAAACATGTGTTATATTCTCTAACTTATAGCTTTTTGATGGTCGCACGCTGGTCTGTATATCGATCATGCTCTTTTTTGCACTGAAATAGTTCTGATAAGTTTTTGTAGGAAATTTTAATTGAAAACTCACGTTGTTTAAAATTTCTTCCCCTAATCTTTTTTACTAAAGACGCGTATATGTGGTTGAATACGTTAACTTTAGTATAAAAATATTGCTTTTTGTGTGATTGGCGAGTATTCGAACGAAAAAGTTCAATTTTCATCAATTTTCAACCAAACACTAGAAAATCTTCACCTCTCAATAAATAACATAAATGCATAAATTAATTTATCGAAAGTACTTTACATTTTTCCCTCGTATGTGTTATTTTAGAGATATTGTTGGAATTGTGCTGATGGCGGTTTTAGAAAATCCTGGAAAAATTTGTATTTCTGATGGATAAGTTTCGTCGAACTAAAACAGTGATAAAGCAGTTAGGAATTATTTATATGGCGTCTTTCAAGAAATGGTGTCATTTAAAGCTAAACGTACAATGCAGCCATTATTTTACTAGCGGCATGACAGATAGCGTATAGTATTAATTTTGAACTAAGAAAAGTCGGCCAACATCGTTCGATAAGGCCTTCACTCACTGCAACGTTTGAACCGGCAGCGTACCATACTGTCACAGGCTCTGATTGGAGAGGTTGTTTGACTATTTCTCCTGGGCTTTCGAAACTTATTACTCATGTATTTTTTGCATCCAAGCAGTGAATGTGTTTAAAATCTTCCTAACTCTCGCTTTTTGAATCGTACCGCAATGCGAGTGATACGTTGAGAGGTCACAAGCGGAGCGAAGTTGAATTTGAAATTTCTTGTTGAACGATCCTGCATTTTCTTTTGCTCCTTTTTATGTTACATTAAAACATGTGCTCTAATTCTAGTCGCACAGTGACAAATTCAAAAATGTTTAAAAGCTGTTTAAACTTTTATAAACAATTATTTACGGAGAGAAATATTTGTGCCTTATTTAAGAGGTAACATCACTCTAGCATTCTAAAAAGAACTGTATATTTAGTGATTTCTATCGAATGAAAGCAAAGATCTTAGAATCGAAATATTCTAAGAAGTTGTTAAGCACGTGTTCCAGTATGCAAAGAAAGAAGATGTATTTTTAAAATATATTAGAACATTGCAACAACAAGTCCATTCCCGCTAGACATTTCCCTTTGCGTCTTGTCGCAAGAAATCGGTACAAATTTGAATCGAAAATAAGAAAAAAAAAAAAGTGAAAGACAATCGCTTAACCAATACGCTTACAGCTAACAAACTTGGATGCTTGGGCACTGTAAAAATATTGGTTTTTATGTGAACATATTCGAAAGAAAAATTTCAATTTTCGGCTAAAAAATCCTATTCTAATTAGAGAGATTGCAAAAATTTGAAGTGAGGAAAAAAAGTGAAAATGGTTGGAATTGCGCTGACGACCGTTTCGGAAAATGCTGTTTCGAAAAGCAAGGTGCTTGAAGTTTCAAGTACGTGTAAATTGCTATAAAACTATGTTCGAAAGATCAAAGTTTTGGGCCATCTCAAATTTTCCCACGCTTACAGTCGCTTTCTTACATCATACTTTGCTGCATAAAGCGTCACTTAAGCCAACAAAAAAATGTTAATTTTCTGCAAAGTCGTGTGTACAAGTGCTTAATAAATGCGTTTTATTATACCAAATATGTACCGTATTGACGCATAACCGTCTGCTATTTTCGTACTTCCCGTAAATTTTGTGGTTATTTCTCCACGACGGAACTTCTTGAGTCTCTAGGCGACAAAGTGAATCAAGTGGTTTTTCCAACACGTTTATTTTATTGGCTTATTACACAAGATTTCACACATTTTAAAGGATGTGGTGTCAGAACCCTTTCGCATTCGATATAAGTTCGAAATTATAAAAAGTGAACGCATGGCTTTGTTTAAAATTGCGATGGGCTTTTATTACATTGAAATGCGCATCAGTGGTAATGAGTGTTTCTCTTCTTCTTTTGTCTCACTTTAAGACTTTGAAATCATATGGATGCAAATGGATGTCTTGTGGTCTAGTGGTTAGGATGCCCGTTATTTTACACAGGAGACCCAGGTTCGATCGTTGTACTTTACTGGTAACTGTACAACTGTACATTTTTGGGCAGCGAAGCGCGCATGTGCTTTGCTAGGTTGGTGAGGTCAACAACTCATTTGTGATCGAAGGGAAGGTTGTAGAAATTATTTTCTGTAGAGAACACTAATATTCGACTTGAGGAAGTATGGCTAATAAGGATACGTTCGCATACAAAATAATAATTTATTTTTGGTGCAAGTTTGCATCCAGAAGAAATTTCTGGGAAATATCTTAATTTTTTTGCTGCATCTATTCAAAGCGAATTTCCACCTTTTAAACTATACGTGTCACGAAATGACAAAGAGTAAAGTAAGAAAATTATAACTAAGATGAAAAACTCCTTCCAAACTTTTTATTTTTTTGACAAGAAACCCGAGTCTTTTCAAACCGATCTCACCTTCCATATCCATTTAAAGGTCATCTCGTCGAAGTTTCACTAATGTATTTTTGTGTAAAAATCTCCTTAAATGAACAGGAACGTTTTCTAAAGAGTCCTCTTGCCGGCTGAAAGAAATTAGGAAATAAGAAACAGAACGTTAGCTCGTAGTTTCCAGCAAAGATTGACCTTACGCGGAGACTTTGTTCGCTTGGGGAACAGACCGAAATTTCAAAGTAAAGTTTCTTGCAGCTTGAATGAGTTGTTTTTTGCCTCTTTATCGGAACTTTCAAAAGCAGCTATTAGGCGAACGAAATTTATTGTCTGATAAATTTTATAGTGAGGCCTCTACTTAAAGTCATTTTGATATTTGCGGCAAATTCTTGTGAAAGAGATTTTATAAAATTTTAAACTGAAAACACTGTTTTCCTCGGAACTTCGACATTAGGGTCAACATTCAATATTATTAAAAATGCAAAATTAAAAACAAATATCACTTAAGTTTTATTTGTTTGTTCATTTACATAGTTTTACACAACGTTGCCAACATATTAAAAACGGATAAAAAAAAAAAATCACACTTCAATTAAACATCAAAATATTCAAATTTTCTTTAATAAATTTAAACACTTATCCTGCTTTCAATTCTCCTTTTTTTAATCGCAGAAAATAAACTGTGTTGTTGTAAATGAGCTTTTTTACAAAACAAACAAAAAAAAAAAAAAATTTGCTTTCCTTCTGCATCAAAGAGTTTAAGAGCATGTTTGATTTTATTTTTCTCAACTTTTATTTACAAAAAAAAAAATAATAAAATAATAGTTATAAATATATATTAAAGAAATAAATAAATGAAAATTAAACACAATTTTAATATGCGCAAATAAAATTAATTGCATTCCGAATATTTGTTGCAGACAGCAAAACAGCGCAAACGGACGAAGAGAAACAGCGCGATCGTCAGCGTAGCGAACGCGAGGCTAAAAAGGAAGAACAAGACGCTTTAAATTATAAAGTAAATAAAAAAAGAACTTGAAACTTGTTTTGACTTTTATTAAGCATTTCTAAATATTTATATCGTTTCCAAAAACATAGAGAGAGAAAGAAGCACGTGAAGCACGTTTATTAGATTTAGAAATACGTCGACAACAGGAGCGTGAAAAGAAAAAGGAAGAGCAAAAAATATTGCATCAACAACATCAACAGCATCATCATCAACAACAACAACAACAGCAACAGCAACAGC